TACATAGTTATTATTATTTAACTAAAAAAATGTTTCCTAGGAATAATATACGTGGGAAAACGACGCGACGTTTGCCGGGTCAGCTAGTATTTATCTATGATTTAGCGAGGGTTTATATATATATATATATCATAAGATGCAGATTTGTATATTTCGTCATATTTTAGTCATACTTAATGGTAACCATATTTTACTTTTAATAACATATTATTTTTCATACTGTCAAATAGCCTATTGTGTGAAACAGAATGGATATAGGAAACTCAAGCTATTTTTATCCTACATAGACGCAACAGCTAGCTTGAAAATTCACTGAATCCTAATTGATGACACACCAATTACGCAGCACCAGGGTCTAACGAAATGTGGAATTAAAGTGGTATTGTCAAAGGGCTTTCGCTGTCATGGTAAACTGAGAAATGACAAACGCAAACTGCAAAACCGACCCCTAATTTACATATTTAATCATGAATATAAAATGTAGTGTTTTAATAGAACGATTCGTTTGTTTTGTTTTACTAGTATTATTTCCTTTATCTCTGAAATGAGGTAAATTATTAATTAAGACTATTATTTATTGTAGCTTTTTAAATTTTCTTTAGTAAAACGTCATTAATCGACTGTTTTTACATGTGCTGATCTAACTTTAGTATTTGAATAATCTTTGTAAAGAACATGAATAATAAATATAATTAAATTATAATATAATATTTATTATTTAAGTTAATATTTAATAATTTCAGTGATATATGCCATCAACGCCAAAGAAGTTTTACTTCAATCGCGCGTAAAGGTTTATTTGTTTTGTTTCACTATTATAAAATAATAATACTAAGCATTTCCTTTATTTCTGAAATGAGGTTAATTACTAAAAGAATGATACCGATTATTATTTATTATAGATTTTAAATATTTCTTTAGTGAAACGTAATAAATAAATAGTGCATTTATGTTGATAATATAAACCACTCATCAGTTTCACTTGCGGAATATGTAATACCCATATATTGTTAGTGTACATTTATGACAGTTTCTCGGAATACTTGATAAATTAGCATCACAATACAATTTTCCTACAGTCAATATTTTCATATGAATATTACAAAGGTACTGTAATAAATATACAGATTCGAGACAAATTTGATTAGTTAATGCCATGATTTAAATCTATAATTAAAAATTTCAACGCAATAAACTCAGGAACTGCAAGGTCGAATTGATTAATTTTGTGTTGTATATGTCACCGTAAAATTGTAAACACCGTTAGATTGTAATCTATCTCGCGAGATTGTAAACTGTCGAAAGATTGTGAACCTCAACGAACTGCTTACAATTTAACGTATTGTTATTCGGTAGATTGTAATCTATCGAAGTGAAACCGTCAAATTGTGAAACGGATCGCACCTCACGCGCTGCCCCGCGCCACCATATTTGTTTGTTAATTTGTTTGTTGTTGAATGTAAATTGATTGTTTTGATGAATGTAAATTGATGTCGTGTTGAAAGTAACTCACAGCTTTAGAATTAGTTATATGAAATTATTGGGAAGTAAAATTAATCTATGATTGACCAAAGAAGTTTGAATGATAACTAAGTTCGTGTTGGAAATGAAATTAAAGGAAATTTCATTAATTTTTCAATTTTAATTTGTGTTTGAAACAATCAATTTACATTCGACAACAAACATATATGGTGGCGCGGGGCATATTCTGTTCAACCAATCAGCGCGGGAGGTGCGATCCGTTTCACAATTTGACGGTTTAACTTTGATAAATTACAATCTACCGAATAATAATACGTTAAATTGTAAGCAGTTCGCTGAGGTTCACAATCTTTCGACAGTTTATAATCTCGAGAGATAGATTACAATCTAACGGTATTTACAATTTTACGTTAACATATAGATGGATTTTTATCATAGACGTTATAGGTTACACAATCTCTAGCCTACGCAAAGCACAGCTAGTCGAACTATAATTCAAAGAACCCTTAAAACTTCGCAATACGTTTATTTAACTGAAAAAAATCAATGAATACCATTAGTGAAAAAGTTTGTTTATTATATTTTCTGACTTATTTATTATTCATTAGATTTGTAGACTTCTTATGAATAGGGCTGTGTCTAATGTAAAACTAGTTGACGGATTAATCAAATATTCGTATGGAAAAGCCAACAAAGAATCATACTTTTGTCAAGCGCAAATTGCTTGGAAAAATTCAATGGTATATTAATACAAAATAAATCTCCTTTTTCATATAGAAATACGCTTTGATTGAGTGATGTAAACGATGCATTAATTATAAATTTATGTTTACAAAAATACGATACATGAAACATTCGTTTCACACAAAAATAGATACTTTTGTTATTGCGATAATAATTTGTGTTCTATTCAAGTTTTATTTAATCTGATTAGACCGTGTTGCGATTTAAAATAACGTATCATAGGCAAAATCGACAGTCGACAACAAAAACTTATGCATAAATTGTTTTTTGTTGAAAAATGTTTTCTACTTAAAAATTATAAAATCTTTACTAATTAGTAATTACACTAAATTTATAAGATTAATTTGCAAAGTATTAATTAGTTGTCTAACATAATGTCCTAGCGTCTGTAAAATAATGCAACAATAGAATACGGTTTTATTAATAAACATGAGTACCAAAGCATCAAGATCCTATGAGTTTTCTGAAGTTTTGCTCGAAGTTGGTCAAAAATAATTCGCTCTCTGATTGAAAACGGCACTATTGCTTATCTAGTTTTCTCACTTGTCCGGATTAATACGCTTGTATTGGCAAAGTTGCGCCTGCCAAATTCCATTTTCAAACTTTATCAATGTTCACTTAGATAAACTATTGACGAAGACACAAGTTTATGTTCACTTGGTACAGTAGTTTGGCATCAAACAGATCGTAAACTATAAAGTGATAAAGTTGTAGTGGACTTGTTGCTTGTGGTGCAACATTTCGCGACATATCAACTCTATATGGGTTCATTGGAACTTTTAATTTAATAAACTATTCGGATCTTCAACAGTTAATAGTTTCAAGTATGGGCCAAATGAAAATTTTAATTTGTTACCTGTTTTTTTTTGTATGGAATCTCGCTGTTGGCCTGAAGGGCCTTTACAGCTCAGCTGGGCGCCTCACAAGGGCGTCACGTGCGAGACTCGGACCTAGGCTTGAGCCGTCGCGAGGTGGTTATTTGCCTGAGGGCAGGGCGGGTGCTCACTGGAGTGAGCGAAGTACCAAGTAAAGTACCTGGGAAAACAGTACCACTAAGTTTGAAGAAAGTTTTCGTTCCTACAGAGGTCCTTCCATAAATTATTAATAGTATAAATCCCATATAAGAAACCAAATTTAGCGTAAAACTGAATAAATTTAATCACATTATTTTCTGTTCTTAAGTGTACGATTCTCAACCTATTCTTACTAAGCTGGCTTTGTACGGTAAGGGAAAATATCGTTACCGACATGTTTTAGACCTAAAAATCGGGATTAGAGGTAGAGGGCAGATACACACATCATTTTTAATTTGGCTTTAAGTTTGTATCTCTTACAGTTACGCAGAGCTATCTACAAAATCTTACAATAAGTTTTCCGCTTTGTTCATTCATATATTTATTTTAAGACTTCTATTAGTTAATAATATATAAGTATAAAGAATACTATATTTTTGTTTCTTTATTGATGCAATATTTTGTTGTATTTCCCGTTGGGAAACCTTTTTTTTATAAATAACTAAGACCTATAAAAAATCCTAGCGCCATTGTGTATTTTCTATAAGTTCTTTAGAGTATATCTCACATAGTCTAAGCTTAAACTTACCAAAATCTACATAATCCAGCGATGGAACTGGGATTTCATTCGTAAATACAATTTATACATTGGATTACTCGCATTGTCAGATCTAGCAAAATGTGAAAGGCACACACTAAAACTAGAAGTTTTAAAAGTTGGCGATACGAACGCTGAATACAGAATCAGTTTCAACTTTCAATATCAAATCAATCTCACAAACTTACCAAAGTTGGCATCACAGCGATATTCAACATGCATTATTACAAGATACTTTTACAAAAATATGTATTCATTATTGACGAATACTGTAACAGTACAGAAAATTTAAAGTGTGATTTTTACTTATATTTAATAACTGTAAGGGACGCTTGAATAAAACTACTTTTAAATAGACCTATAAAATTATGTAATTCGAGAGGCGGATAAATGGGACGGCGTGGGCGCAGATAATTCATTAGCACTGGTCAAAAATAACAATAATATAATTAATTAGGTTTTAAAGGTCGCTAACAGTAATTATTACCTTAATTTTCTTATGTAATTCACTAAATAAAACCTCTGAGCTATTTCAACTACATTCGAGGAAAAGTGGCAGGTAGAAGGAGACCTGCTCGCAGGCGCACCTCTTGGTTAAAAAATCTTCGGTTATGGCTTGGTCAAAGCACGGGTTGTTTAAAAGTGCGGTATCCAAAATTTAAGTAGCCATAATGTTCGAAAGGGGATGGCACTATCTATCTATATTATCATTTATATAATATTTACTCTGGCTTGGTTATTGTAGGAGATAAGACATTTTAATTCAGCTTATGTACAATTGACTATTGATAGAAAATGATCTATCAAGAAACATTGTAAGTACGACAAGTTTTCGGCAAATTACATTATTAAATATCGAGTATATATTTTATTATTTTTTAGTTTATATATTATACAAATTTACGGTGACGTATAATAAAGTACAGTACGTAGAATCGTTTTTAAATTTGTAAATTGAAATTTTATAATACGATATATGTTTTTGTTGCCTTCGTTTCCATGGTTACCATGCTATTCAATAGTACTATACTGTAGACAACGTTTTATATTACTACTAAAGTAACACGTAGTTCAAATTGTCACGGTAGCAAGACATGTATAATTACATATGTAGGTGTCTGAACCTAGTTACGTCGCAATTCACGTATCAGCATGTACTCGTAATGAACTCATTGTTCTCACTGAGAGGTAGGGTAGGGCGGGGCTATTTGAGCAATTTTTCACTTGCTTGGATATAGCTCCTCAATGATAAGTCTCAATGAGTTGTTATGTGTCCTGATGGATTAGTAATTTATCCCTTAACAAAAGTGTCCATAGTATTTTATTGTAACAAGTCCAATATAATAGCTACAGATGTTTAAATGCAGAAAGTCAAGTATGCTCAATGTACCCCATAGGTGAGGTAAGTTGAGCAAGGGTATGGGGCAAGTTGAGCACTAAGAATGTCTAGGCCAAACCATGAGTTCTATGTTAACTTGAGAAGAAGTAAAATATGTGTTAGACAGTCAGCTTTTTATTTATAGTCTTTTATTGACAGAACAACAAAACTTAAATAAATTTTCTTTGTATAATTAACCGAAACTAGAATCAACAAAACATGAGCATCCATATCTATCCATTACTTCCGATAATTTCTAAAAAAGATTACCAAGGCTGGTGGGTTCTGGTTTTAGTATGGATAGCCACGATTTTTTTGTTTTAAAAACATCATCAACCATTCTTTTCCGGCCATCTTATTTGCAATTCAGCTGGGTGGAATTTCAATGCCAAATTTAGCACACACATAGGCAAGGCAACGGACGTCTTTTGGAGAAAAATGCCATTTGTAGCAAGTATTTTTTCAAACAGTCCTCCTGTGTGGGAGAAAATACTTCCCTCGGTGTTGTATAGCCCATAGATGAATCATCACCTTCATTTTATAAATTCAAAAGTCAAGCAATACCGAATTCTTTAGCGACGGCATTCACACTTTTTCCCTCATCGTGGACAGCCTTTGCAGCATTATTTAAGTCTTCAGTAGTGAAAGAACATCTTGTAGTCTTCCTCTTGTAAGTCCGCATCCAAACAAAAAATATAAGATTCATTACTTCAGTTGTTTAAGTCGTGGGGTTAGTTGCTCAACTTACCCCAACCCGGAATTGTAAAACAAAAGTGAGGTTGTAAAAAAATGGCTAGAATTAGACCCCAAACCTATTTACAAATCAAAAATAAAATATTTTTCTGGAAGATTAACACTGTTCTGATTGAAAACAGAGAACATTTGACAAAGACAGACGAAAACTTGCGATAAACAATGTTTTTACTTTTTGGTCACAAAATAAACAAAACGCCGGGATACTTCACTCACTCATCGAGCTGCCACTAGCGATCGCGCGATGATTACCCCTCCCACGACTCCTTCTTTTTGCTATTTGATACCCCCGCGTATGGTGAATAGTTTGCGAGATATTGCGATTGCCCAACTTGCCCCTATGCTCAACTAGCCCCGCTCTACCCTACCCGAGAAATGTTATTTGTCTAAGTAATTAATTGTTTTAATAATAGCAACTAGAAATGTCTTAATATTTATATATACGAAAACTTATATTATTAAGAATTACATTTAAATTATTTTAATTTTTTTAAAATTTCGAGTGCTTTTCGGCTGAGCCTGCTAAGACATAAATAAGCTATATTATACAACAACCAAAGTACTAAATATAAAAGTAATAATTAATAACCTTAAAAATATAATACAATAACTTAAATATATTATTAAAAGGACCCCCTTTTAGGCAAGGTTCCGAAGATACTGGCAGCGTTACCCCTTTGAATAGCTAGACTAATTCTTTGTCCGAGGTAGCTACCAGTTCTTTGGTCTCCTGTGATGTCGATTAAGCTATATGATATTTCCTTAAAAAGCCTTATAGGACCTAGGACCCCACGGACCAAGGCTCTCGACACCGAATGGGACAATATATATATATATATATACATCTCAATATATTATCTGATCTTATTTGAGTCTTTCAGATCCTGTCTTGTATTTTTAAGTATGGTTTATGTATATCTCATAGCAATCGAAAAACAAGTTACCAAATTCTTTTTCGCAAATTAACATTGTCTATTACACAAGAGCCAGAAAGAATTGGAGCGAGGTGAAATAAGAGGCTCAAGACCGAACGCGATGGAGACTCACTGTGGACGCCCTGTGCCCCATCTAGGGGTTTCAGGACATCTAAATACCTCCAATAATCAATTGTCAAATTATTTTATTAACAAATACAGACTCTATATTTAGACTCAATATTTCTACTAAATTGTTTCGTTTGAGTTTAATATTTTTCTAGCCTACCAAAAATGCCTAAAAGCTAGGTGATTTTAAAGTTTAATAAAACATGATGGCATCTTAATGTTTTTGAATGCAATACATTTTAATATGTGTTTTTTAATGTCAATAACGCTATCGCAGTTGAGAGTTAACAACGCAGGAAAGGAAGACCAATTACAATTCTAGTGCATAACTAATATTTGTAAGCAAATATATAAATTTACGTTTCACATTTTATTCATATATAGAAAACCACATGTTTCTGTTTGGAAACCCTGCAAGCGGTCAGGAATAACCAACGATTTAAAGGGAACACAAAAATTCTAAATAATAACTCAAATTGTATATCTTTGTGCTTAAGTCAAATATTTGTACGAATAAATGTTATAAATTTACGTTTCACATTCTATTCGTATATAGAAAACCACATATTTATGTTTGGAAACCCTCCAAGCGGTCAGGAATAACCAACGATTTAAAGGGAACACAAAAATTTTTGATAGTATTATTTTATTCAGCAAATACGACGGAAATCGGGGTGCTCGACCCGGCACTTTATAAAGCGGATTGCCACGTCGAGGATTACTTATGGCCGGAGGGACACGTGGTGAGTTTTTAGTATAATGCACTTTATACCAAACTATAAGTTACATAGGTTTTTACTGAAGATCGCGCTGTATTAGCGAAGAAATCGCTTTGCTACTGTATGTGCTTTGACTTGTAGATGGGTTTTATTTCACCACACACCTCGGGCCACCTCTATTGCTCACTCCCTTTACAATCCTTTGCTTTGAAAAAGATTTTCCCCATTAAAAAAACCATGCTTATTCTGACAGCACGAAAGTTTAGAAGAAATTTGTCGAAAATAACAAGAATTGCAAGTGTTCAATGCATAACATAGTAATGGGAGTTCCTTAGTTTAATAAATGTTAAAATTTTTCGTGGAATTGACCTATTAATTATTTTTATTAAAGGGCATAATTATAGTGACTATTAAATATACATATATTCTTAATACAAATACGCCAGTAGTTAAAAAATTTAAACGAGATTAGATAAATGCTAAATTGTCTAGATCTTAATTTTGAATGTTACACTACTTATGTATATATAATACTTTGGGTCACAGCCTTCGCCTTCGAAACAAGAGAACTCTGGCTTCATCGATCTTACACTCTATTATAGCTAAACTATATATTTTACTTCAATTTAGCTATTATCTTCTATAATATTGGAAATAAACAGTACAGTTATACAAAATTTTAATATATTTGATATTTCCAGGGTCGAGTATGGTTTACATTGAAATATGAGTCGGAGACGGAGCGACTTCAGATCCACATCATCAAAGTTAAACATTTGCCTTCTCGTACTCCGGCGCTTGCCAATGCCTGCGATCCTTATATCAGGTAGAAAACACAAATATCATATCAGTATCATAATACACTGTATTTGTAAAGGTACAATTTACTTCACTCCTTAATTTGAATCAGCTTAGTTTTCTTAATTCATTTCCATCAGCTTATTCAAAACATTTACTATTAATAGCTAGTTAAGTATTAAAAATTCGACCAACGATATGAAGCGATCTTTGGGTACAGATGCCGCAAAGTTATAATAGACCGAACAAAGATTTCCCTTTCTAGTCACTTTTTATTGTATTTGTATAACTATGGTGATTGACCTGGAATCGACTTATAATTTTTTAGATATTTTTATAGTTGAAGTTATTCTAAATTAATTATAAAGAAAATCACATCTTAAATTCGTAGTACTACATAATGATTTGAAATGAAATTAATGAAATAATGATGAAATTAATCAAGAAATTGCTTTTGCACTTAATATAATTTAAAACTGAAGACTTGGTTCTCAGGTTTCTCATAGTTACCTACGTGCCAGCACATAATATGATACCCAAAACATTCTATGAAATATTCTTATATAAAAAATATCATTAATGTAACAATAACACATAATATTTCATCTCATTTTATAGTTAATAGCATTTAACATCGTACTACAGTATTTCACGTCGTGAAGGCAACTTAATACCAACATGAGTTTGTACTCAATCAAATTATGATACAAAAGCCTTTTGTTAGTAAAATATTACATATGACCCACTTAACATCGTCATTATAAGTATTAAATATTTTTATTATATTCATCAAACTAATAATTATAAAAAGAAACACCAGCTTCATTCTGGCAGCATTTCTTCGCTGGATATGCTTAAAAACGCTGAACCTGCTACGAGGTCTGGTGAATTTATAACGTTTACAGTATTCACGATATTATAATGTTTACACGAATAATGAATTAGTTCGCGATCTGAATAATCTAATTCATTCACCATTCAAAGTTCACATGGAATCATGAAAATAAACTTTTATTGGTTTAAAAAACATCAGAAGGGTAACTCGGAACCGCGATGTTCTTATAGAAATCAATTACATTTCTCGATATGGGTTCGAATAGAAATATTATTGTATTAATATAATATATTAACTTTTGAACGACTAAACCGATCGGAATCTTCTAAACGGCGTTCTAAATATTTCCCTCAAAATTACATTTCCTGTGTATTTGAACCGATTCGGACCGATAGATTTTGAGAAATTTTGAAAAATCTCAAAAAAATAAGAAAAAAATTTTTTTGAAAGTGTTTTTTTTTGGAATAAATTTTAACCGGCTTCATCGATCAACTTCAAAAACAAATACGCCTTTGAGCTTGAAAAAGCACGTCGATCGCCACCAAGCTGGTCAAAAGCGGTTGATTCGTTCGAGAGATATCGTGAACGAAAGAAACCCGAAAAAGTGTTTTTTCGGGATTACTCCGAAATTTGTGGTTCGATCAATTAAAATTGCAAACTTATGAGGATGATAAAACTGCCAACCGCGTGAAAATTGCTTGATCCATTCAAAAGTTATTGTGGTTTGAAAATTCCAAAAATAGTGTTCTATGAAACTTCTATCAGACTTTCGAGCTGGGAGAGCTCAAATGCATAGAAATATTATTTCTTTGAACTCAGCGAGCTCAAAATATAATTTATGTGATATGTACAAAAATGTCATAAGTACAATTTTAAGCGCCCAGGAATGGAATTAGCGGGAAGTTGCAGGGATGGCCTTTAACGGTGAACCGTTTTTTATTTTTTTTTGTCAGAGGCGAATCCCTCTAATAATCGTCAGATTATGAGACAGTACGTTTACAATAAAGATGAACCATATATCTTAATCTGAGCCTTGAGTATTTCAATCATTTTTTTGCAATTATGAAAATGGCCGGTTTGCTCCCATGAAATCGTCAGATAATGAGACTTTTTTGGTGCATTAACACTCCTTAGAAAATCTGTCGCCTCGATTAAATTTTTTTTTCTTTCATTTTCAACCCTAAAATACAACCGCATCATGCAAACGATCAGATTAACATACGTACATTATTAAAAATACGTAGGGCAGTTTTTTTTACATATTTAAAATCTATAGCCGCTTCCCACGATTAAGGTATATATCATTTAACATTTTTTTCTTCTTATCATCTAAGCTTTGCATCCCAATAGGTCTCTACGACGCTCGAGTAAATCCCCATTTAGCCTCGTGGGCTCCCCTAATATATTGAATTGTCTATTTATTAAGAGACATGACATGTTATTTTCTGTTGTATTTGTTTCTAAAAGATATTATAAGCATAAATTCTACTTCACTTGTTTATATAAGGGCTTGTTGGTAAGGCTAAATAAATAAATGACATCACGCTACGACCGAATTAACGGATAAGACCAGGAGAACAATTAATTAATGACAATGACCTGATTGTACGTGTTCCGGTCCGGTGGTGGAGAGGCTGGCTATCTGTCACTCAGGTCTCCTGTTACAGAGACCAGTCTCTCACATACACTTCCAAATGTTATCATCTTAGTTTAATCATAATAACCTTGTATGTATATGTGAGAGAAGAAATGAAGATTATTATTATTATTAATTAGTTTATTAACAAATACCTGAAATCTAGTAAACAGAGAGAAATTATCCGTCATACGACAAATTAAAAGATTTCATGGGATTTTTTTGCGTGTGTAGATGACAATTTGGAAAAAAATCAGTACGTAAATAACAACGCCGACGAAGTTTTGAAACTTTTCCCTTGATGGATATGAAAATGAGACAAAAAGTTAGTTAAAGTCTAGTCTTTAACGGGATATTTAAACTTTGAAAATTTTGAGTTGAAGCTATAAAGATGTTAGTTGTTTTTGTCAGACCGTAACGCAATGAAACTTTTAGAGCAATTAATTTTCAGTAAATAAAGTTAGAATTACACCAAGTTTATAATCTGTTTTGTAAAATAATAATCCGTGGAGCTCATCATACAAAACTTGTGTTTTTCCGGATTTATGTATTTTCTGTATTTATATTAATATCTATTAGAGAATATAACCTATTTTCTTAGGCAATTTTTTTTTTTATGATTAATATAATATGATCTGTATTAAACTAAATCTGAAACCAGCCCAGGATAAGAAGAATGAGCTAAAATAGGTGAGGCCTATAACTAAAACTTTTAAAAGTTGTTTTTCTGACCAATTATTTATTTTGTTTGAACTAACGTTCAGAGAATAAAGGCTTTATGATTAATATTTATAAATGTGATCTTACGTATAAGAATGTTTAAGGACGTGGCCTGATCTGTGAAGTACATGCCCAGAAAAAGGCCGAGATTATTCCCACGGCTTTAGTCCCAGAGATTTTATTAATTTTGTTTTAATTCAACGCATATAATATAGTCACGAATACACTATTTTTTGTATGACACAACGAAATCTGCTTTCATTTGGAACATATATGACTTCGTAGAGCTAAAAAAATCTTCACAAATTATTCTATGATAAAAACATATTCTTTCGTAGTTTTGAAGATCTTAGCGGAAGGGATTGATATGTCTTTGTATGTACTGATAAATAAATATGCTAATGATGCTTAAAATTTTAGCTGATACACTTAGTCACTTGGTAAATTAGATTAAAAACATTACTATCTAACAAGAAAGACTAGAACTGCTATTTAAACAGAATAGATTATTTCCTACCATGTTAACGTAATCTTCTAATATCTCTCAAGAGTGTATAATCTGTGGGTATAACGCGCCAACGAGCCGGGATAATAGCTTGATAGTGAATTTAGATCTTAAGTCTTCAAATCATCATTTATGAATTTAAAATTTCTTATGCCTTAAATTAGACTATTTACGTTTCGTGGGAAATATTAGTCTACTTAACTTTGGCGTAATAATAATGGTTACGTAGTAACATTTACGTTTTTTACGATACAAGACAATACGACTGGATTGTCAAATTTTGTTGAATTTCATAATTGGATTTTTACTGACAGCATCAATCGTGCCTCTCTCTTAATTCAGGATGTATGTGAGAGAATTGCATACATTAAAAAAAGAGCAATATCTGTAATAATTATTAAAAGCTATAACTTTCGTTTCTTGATTCTCTGGTTGTTTTTCGGTAACGGTAGACCTTATTAAATATCTACTGCTTTACTGTTAATAATCCATCAACTGGCTTTGACTTATTTAATAAGAATAATAACATTTATTCGTGACAGAAATATCGTTGTGACAAAGTTGATCTAGCGCTAGTCCCCAAATTAGTAAGCCCCTGTATTGTGGGTAACTACATCACAATTATTCCGCATGTTTAAAGAAAAAGTATTCTTAGTGTTTCTTCTAATCAAATAAAATTTTTTTTTTTTTTTTTTTATAGAACGGGGGCAAACGGGCAGGAGGCTCACCTGATGTTAAGTGATACCGCCGCCCATGGACACTCTCAATGCCAGAGGGCTCGCGAGTGCGTTGCCGGCCTTTTAAAAATTGGTACGCTCTTTTCTTGAAGGACCCTAAGTCGAATTGGTTCGGGAATACTTCAGTGGGCAGCTGGTTCCACATAGTGGTGGTGCGCGGCAAAAACTGCCTTGAGAAACGCTCAGTTGTGGAACGTCGGACGTCGAGGTGATACGGGTGGAATTTCGTATTCTGCCTCGACGTCCGATGATGAAACTCAGCTGCAGGTATTAATCCGAACAATAAAAATCGTATAGGACTCTATATTCAATAAATAAATAAATCAGTGGCGCTACAACCTCTTTAGGTCTTGGCCTCAGATTTCTGAATCTGTTTATTGATCATTTTTAAATCTAATAGGCAAATAGGTGATCAGCCTCCAGTGCCTGACACACGCCGTCGAGTTTTTGGGTCTATGACATGTCGGTTTCCTCACGATGTTTTCCTTCACCGTTCGAGCAAATGTTAAATGCACACTTAGAAAGAACCTATGACCTCAGGTATGAGAGTCGCACGCTCAAGCCACTAGGTCAACACTGCTCTGGACTCTATATTAAGACATAATATATGTATATATATAAGATATATTAAGATTTATATAAAATAAAATATATAAATCTTAATACTATTTTGGTCAATAAACCTCGTATCACATACAGCCTTAATTACAATTAGAAAGTTACGAATACAACACCTAAAAGTTAACATAAGTTGCCAAAAGTTGCTAATAGATAAATCACACTGAGTGATTTATTTACTAATTTCTCTGACCTTATTTAGCATTCTATAAAGTCAATAAACTTTGAAGACTTTTTACACGAGTTAAGTGTACAAAATTAGTTTAAAATGCGAAGAGTTCGTCAAGACTATGAGAACAATAACTAAATTATATAATATGTTTTCACTAAGGTGTGAAGTAGTTGATACAAGGACCTGGGGCTAGTGCTAGACAGGCTACTTCTAATTAATTTGCGATATTTGTTTTAAAATAGGTGTTGTTTGATGATTTTCTATTTTAAAAGAGTACCGAGATTTTTTTACGCCGGCTTTTTCTCTCGGCCTTCACCCTCTGTCTTCTTTGCCGATGAGTAGGGATTCCTACAAATTCAAATTTAATGACGTGGAATAAGTGATATATTTTTTATTTTACCAACCAAAGTATAGTCTCGCCTGGGTTAGATTTTATATGAAAATTTTTGTCGTGGTATTTTTGCTTTATTTGCAAAATAACTCAAGAACTATGTCAAACGTTCAAAAGGAAGCTAATTAGGTAGTTTAAGTTTCAAATATTATGAGATGGAAAAGAGACTATTTAAATCTATAATAACTTCTATATCAAGATATCTATCATTATTGTTTGATATTCATTTGTTATATATACTACTAGCAGACCGGCCAAGCGTTGCTGTGGCTAAGGTTTTTGTTATATTAAATAGTAGCAAACTATTCAAGGGAAACGGTAGGAGAACACCAGTCATGGGGACCACCATGCTTTATTGGAGGTTTTGCCATTAAATTGTAGCTTATGTGAAACGTTGGTACTTTTGACACAGCGCCATCTGTTAGAATTGTGACTGTTAACAAATAAACAAATAATTTGCAATAAAATAATATTGCGGGTATAAATTGAGATGTAAGCTATCCTATCTTTTAAGTTAGATCAAACTGCACACGGTGTGCAAATTTGATTGATATCGGTTCGGTAGTTTAGGAGTCCATAGCGGACAAACAACGTGACACGTAATTTATATATATTAAGATTTAGTATCAATGTTTAATATAATGTCTTTCTCGCAGAATCCAACTGATGCCAGATGAAAGAAGAGTTCTGCAAACAAAGCAGAAGAAGAAGACTTGCAATCCATTTTTTGATGAAACTTTCGTTTATCAGGTATGTCTCTTCTAGACTTTAATACGGAAAAGTATAGTTAAAATATTATGTTATCTTTAACCCAGTTGTGAAGTGGTTTTAGTCTTGATGCACAATCGATTATTTCACCTATACAAATATTGAAACAAAATTATGATTTTATATTGGCGCAAATTTGAAATTACGTGGTACGAATACTCAATGACTATTGAATTTACAGGGTAATTCTATTCGGAGAGCCGGGTGGTATTACAGATTTAAGACCACCCTCCAAAAAAGTCTTAAATCTTAAGCAGTAAATACATTGAAATAAAATACGATCCGTAATTTCTCAGTGAAAGTCTTTATATTTTTATCATGTAAGAAAAGAAAACATCACAAAAGATCTCATTAATTTTAATTGCTATAATGTTGTCTTAAACGACTCGTTCTGTACGTAGATAACAGGATAACTTACAATGGGTATAAGGACCTAAATTCTGATTTTAATATCTTTGTAATCCACACGAATTCTAGAATCCAGATTATACCTAGCCCGAATAATACGTTCACAAAGCCACTGTAATAAACTGCCGATAGGTTTTTGTATGGAAAACCTTTGTGGGCCACATTTGCATCTAAAGGAAGGCCGAACATTGCACAAGAGATTGCCTGGAAATTGTATGGAAAGTAACGAATAGTGAAGCAAAAATTCAAAAGCAAAACAAAGCGTTAACTTTGACGTAGCTAAAGGTGAAATAAAAGTTTTATGGAACTCGCTATTCTTGAAGACGAGCGTTCAGAAATTTTAACTGAATTTATAACAAGTGTTAATCCCAAATAATATAAGACTATTAAATAATAGTCTATATTGAATCGTATAGTACGATTTCGACAAATACTAAATCAATAAACGTAATAATGTCCGTTTTATTTATAACTGTTTAATACTAAATCATACGACATCATTTTCAAAGAACTTTCAGCTGGTCCTTTGGAGACCTAATAGACACGAACAAGCATCCTTTGGTCGTTGAACTAATCGGTCCTAAACATACAGTTTTGAAAAACCGTTTCAGAAAACTTACAATTTTTTAAATTTTGTGGGTGAAAGATAGCGGATTGCTTTTATTTTGCAGGCGTCCCCCGCACGCAGTTACGACCTTTGAATAAACTACAAATACCGTAACAAAAAAGGGAATAAAAAATATCTCAGTTATCGATTCTAAAGTTTTATTAATTATGCAAACTGTTTTTCATTTAATTCAGCTTTTAAGTAGGAAGAGAAAATCGGTATTTGTCCTGCTCATACTTAAAGAACTTTACGAGTTAGATCCTCCCGCAAGGAGTACAGACTACGATTATAGCGTTTAATTCAAATACAAAAGTCTTGGTAAGAGATCTGGTAGATCTGAAATAAAAAGAACGTGTGTAATGCTGAATCATGAAAATCAATATATTTATTCGATTGCCAATTACACAAATATGTTAAAATCGGTATCAAACAGTTTCAAAAAATTAATTTACAACATTAAATCGCGGGCTTACGAGCGCGGCGAACCGACATCAAGAGATTCCGTAACGACTAAAACCTTACAGGCGTTCGAGCCGATACAACGCATACTGCGCATTCCTCGCCCGACGAGATCGTTGACGTAGGTGAGCGGAACGAGAACGCGGTACGTGTTAGAGTAGACAGATAGCAAAAAGGCGTTTTAGACTACTCTTGTAAGAATGGTAATTGAATTAATATCAAAGAAAAACAAATACTGCATAAATAAAAAATAAATAAATAATTATTACTGCATAAGTTGATAATAAATTCTATGCAATAGCTTTAGCGTGCCACATGTTTTTTCCCCTAAACTGGTACAGAAATTACGAACTCACCAATTCTCGAAATTTAGCGTTTTTGAGATATGTTTTGACGACTAGCGACTGCGTCATTGAAAACTATTCTTTTGATAAAAGTTTGCACTAATTTGCATACTTTAGTATCCCCGCTTTGAAGCAGAGTTTCATTTCTACTACTCTTTTATTTCTGTAGCCTATACAATAATACAGCTATATTGTTTACTTTAACTGGAATACACGCTTCTACTACTATAGTAATGCTATCAAAGAAAAAAAACACTTCAGATCAAAAAAAATATGCTAGTGGAAAATGAGAGGAAAGTTCAAATGGCATAAAGTTTTAAATTTCTCCTTTATAGTTTATGAAACATTCAGAAATTCTTAATTTTCTTTATAAAATGAATCTGTGACTTCACAACTTTAATTGGTTGAAATACGACTGCTCGTAAAGATGTCAATTTGAAGATTTCTGTTTATAAAGCGAATGTATAAAATTATTATTAATGATTTTTGTTAAAGAATTACGAATAACCAAACATATAACTAGAAATAAATATAAAACAATTTATTTATTAAAATAAAATACTTTTTTTTATAAATTAGCACTTCTAGGACGCGCAAAAAAATGCCACTAACATTTGATTTGCTATAACTGCGGTATAGACAGACAAGAATGAAATGTCAGTTGCTCTTACTCACTCATTATAAAATCTAAGAACAAAAAGCTGCTTTTGAACAATTACAATTTAAACAAATAAATATACAAAAGGACAGAGAGTTGAATAGTGTCTGTCTAAAATAAAATAAAATAAAATATGTTTATTATGGAACATAAGATACATGTATCACTTATTCCACGTCATTAAATTTGAAGGCATCCTACTCGATCGGCAAAGAAGACGAGGGTGTAGGCCGAGAGAAAAAGCCAGCGTAAAAACTCGACTTTTGTTAAACAGCAAATCATCCAAACAACACTTATTTAAAACAAATATCGCAAATTGATCCAGTCTCAACCATAAGGTCGTTCGAATCAGCGGCTTTGTGTTTCTTTGCGCGAAATAATCCTTATTGGGTTCATATGGTATTGTAGGGGGTAAGCCCTACTGAATTATTACTATACAATACTACAACTTAGGGCTAACTTTCGACTCTTAGACCCAAAAATTAACGTGGGCATCTTACAGTGCTTGTTACAATAGTTTAGTATGCAAATATTCTACGAAAACTCATGACGCTAGTAAGCTGATCTAAGCGTCTTATTCGGCTCGCCCATATCAATGTCTGCTAAATATATTCAATGTAAGATCCCCAAAAATTTACATACCAAACGAATCAATTGAATGTAGAATATACTAGTACGTCATTACGACTCCGAATAAAAAAAACTTTTTCAGATATTGATAAAAATGTTTCATTTATTTTTAATTTAATCTGTAATTCATAATTCTGTTTTGCTTTTGAGCCTAATAAGCAAAAACTAAATCCAATATCTTTCGTTGTTATTGCTAACGTCCTGCACCTTTACACGCGTTTTTTGACAATAATTAATCGTTAAACTTACATCAATCATTTAAGCTTTTTGTACAGAGTAAGTATTCAGTGCCCTGACGCGGCGCGAGGACCTAATTGTATGATATGACTATGGCATAAAACTATATCTACCGTTTATCAACGTATATATTACTATAAATCTGTGATCTTATTTTTTTCTTGCCAGTATCTACTATATATAACAGATAATGATTCTCTTTTGTAAGTTATAAAACCTTTGTGAATAATTCGTTAGCATACAATTTTTTTCCCTTTAAATTTGAGTTAAACTGAGGTCGGAATTTCATAGCATTTTCCTTGTAAATGGGAGCGTTGTCTCTTGGGTATATGGTTCAACGAAAATAATATAATTTATACTAATACATATATATATAATAATAATAATGGAGTCTTAAGCACATAAGTATTTTATCGTAACATTTAAGTTAAAAAAACATTGTCAATTGATAATGTTACTATGGTAACGGGGGTGACTGAACTTAGGAGTTTGAATTCAGAAATACATTCATTGCTATAAATTTTAAATTTCGTATTCTATCAAAAAAAGGTGTGTTTTATCGCGTTTTTATATTGTATTTTACGACTTCACGTCAACCAGTGTCTACCATTTTATGCATAAATTTATTGTTCGATCGAACTGAATTGACTTTAATCATTTAGTAAGGTTATAAATACATTCAAACAAATGTTTTTGAATTAAGTAATTCATTTCTGTTATTAACGCAAGTATTTTTCAAATTTTTGGGTCTATGATGATTTTCTTGTTATATTTTTATTTTAAGCTATTGCATAGATTTTATCACGGGCTTTGAGCGCGGCGACCGAATCAAGAAATTCCGTAACGAAAAAAACCTAACACACGATGACGTAATATAGGTGGGGAAAATACGCGTTAGAATGGGACAGAACGCATACTGCGCATTCCCATCTCTCTGACGCCGATCTGGTGACGTAGCGTGAGCGCGGCCGGTGCAGCCGGTACGCGTTAGACTATATAGGGGTTATAGTCTGAGTCTGGTAGAGTGATAGATTGAAATAATATCAAAGAAGAAGCTTGAATTAATAACAAAGAATAACAAATAGTGCATGAAAAAAAAATAAATAAATAATTATAAATTATAAGTTGATAAAAAAATGTTATGCAATAGCTTTACCGTGGCAGTCCCCGAGTGCCACACGTTTTTTTCTTACAAAATTAATTCGTGCAAGGGTTCGAAAGCATGACCTCAGAGTTGTTTCTTTTTTATATTTTTCAAAGATTTAAAGTAACTTTGTTGCAATTTTTTATATCATACTGATTTACTTATATATTTACAGATTCCACCTGGAAAGCTGGAGAGTCTTACGCTAAAGCTGTCAGTGCTGGACAGCGGTCGTGTGGGCAGGAATAAACCGCTCATAGGTCACATTATCCTGCCCCTGAGTGAACTGGAAGGTGTCGCACCGGATGAGGAGCCACAGTTATATAAAATGGATATAGAGAAGGTACAATTTGTTGGCTTGGGACTTTAATAAATTAATGTAATTAAGGTTTCTCTCTCTCTATTAGTAACGAATTTGGGGGGTCCTTTTGTAAAACGTTACGATGCGGGGCGGCGATTGAATTAAGCCCTTATTGTTAATATTATTTTCGACTTTCCAGTACTTTACACCACATAACTTTTAACTATAAAGAGTCACTAGGTGGTCTCGAAACGTTTTAAAATACTTGCGTACAGTACTGTACTTGGGTACAGAAAAACGTTACGGTGCGTTACATGGGGGGTCAATAGTCTTCAAAAATTGCGTGACGTAATACATGAACGCTCCCCAACATGTTGGCTTATGTCAGCAAGAAAGCATCTGGACCGAAGTATCTGTCCCTTCTGTGTCACCAACCACGATCAGTTTCTCCAAGTCCTCATCGCCTCTGATTAAGATTAGTTAAGGCTTATTCTAACTTTGTGTTGTTAAACTTTTTTGCTTAGAACACTTTTCCTTTGTACGTATTTACATTCTAATTTAATGTAATATATATTACTTGTAAGTCATACGATTTGTAATATTGATATGGCCCGTATAAGATGTTGTTAGGTAAACTAATTACGTAATAACTTAAGACAGAAGATCCGTAAAGGACTGAATAAATTAACCGACTTGGTATCTCTCACATCTTTTACGGTAGACGAACTGAGTTGCGAGAGTTGGTTCTTTTCACAAGTTATGTTTTGATGGCATATCCTATTCTTTATGAGGGTATTACGTTGTGGTAGTTTTTACTTCGCTTCGTGTATATCGCCTAATTTTATTCATCAATCTCTTTAATACTTGTTAAATGTCGTTAAATATGTAAGTTTTTATACAACAACAAGGTTTCACGTAAAGCTACGTAGTTGTTACCTCTTTCCATGGACAACTTAATACTCAATATTTTTTCTTTACCTATAGATAAACTCAATATATTCGTCAACTTAGGCGTCAAAGTACGACATCTAATTTCCTTTTACATTATACATATAGCCGGCTCCGTAGAATAAAATGATAAATGCAAAATCACAACTTTACAGGAAAATTAAAAAACCGTTTTAATAAGATTACTTCTTTTGGGTCCTAGGTAGGAACTTGAGAGTTAGCTTAAATGATAGCTAATTTTTAGTGTTATCTCTGTACTTAGTTGAAATTTTAAACGATTCCACTGAACTTGAGATATTTAGGAAATAAAACATTAGACTAAATTTAACAATAACATGTGTTGCTAACATGCACTTATAATTTTTTCTCATTTAAACTTCATTCATACGAATATTGTAATATAGCCCTGTCATGATTTTCTACGATATACGAACTCTCTAGCAATGTCGGTAATCTAATATTATCATCTTATTCGCGTTATTATTCACATAATGAATTTACGATATGAGTAAAGTAGACGTTTTTTCTGGGTATTTTAATAAAACTACTTAATTATAATCAACTGTTATTTATTTTGGGACCAACATTTAAAGCCAACAAAGATAATGACAAAAATAATACTTTTCAAGAAAACAAAACATAACCAAACAAACATAACATAAAGTCACTCTCAAATAAATCAGTCTATAATCAATCTATCTCCATACTCAAATCTTCATAATTAAGTGGCATCTTCGAGCAAACATTCAAAATCACAAAACCTTATATTCCAAATAAAATATAAGCGAAATCTAAGTAATTTCTATCCAAAAGTATATTATAATTAAAAAAAAGTCTTATTAGTTGCTCAATATTTAAAAAATTAGTCTTCATCAGCATAGTTATCAGTTGGTGCTTCTGCCTCATCATTAAATTATAGAGATTCATAGAAACCATGATAGTAGCTTGGTATGTCATTTGATTTACAAAGACTTATGAGATCAGAATGTAGGGCTTTACGTATTGGCAGAGTCTCGGTGTATACAATTTTTAATTCAGGACTGTCATTAAATATTTGGTGTATTGGAAGCATGTCTGTGTCACCCCGTTTGGATCTCTGTTGGCGTTCAACGTTGAGCTTAGAATACTCAGCGTCAAAATCATATTTAAACCGCAAGATGAATGGTTCTGAACTGGTTACATTGATTTCCATTAAATTAGACCACTTTATCTTCTTACCTTCATCATCTTTACCCCAGTGTTTGTCCTCGAGTAATTCTTTTAATAATCTAATCTTAAGAAACTATTGTTACTAACTCACTAATCAATCAATGGACTGTATTTGTCTGATGAATAAAATTATTATTATTATTATTATGTCGTAGAAGTCACTTTGTAACATTTCTTTAATAATGTATTTCTCGCCATTTACTTTGGCATAGGGTAATTATTGCGTACATTTGATCTGGAGTATACACTACTTGGTTTCAGCTTACGTTCTATAGTAGAATGCATCGAATCGCCCTCACTCTGGCCATGACCAGTCAGTGCCGTATGAACTGTCTGATTTGATATACACAAAGTGCTTGGAAAAAAAGGTCCTACATACTTGAACTTTCTCTTTCTGTAAATCAAAATAGTATTTGACTGTTTGGGTGCGATTATTCTTTCGATCTAACTTGATTCTTTTGACCTTCTCAACTGTTGCCATTGCCACTCATGATCTCTTAATCTATAATACTGCTGCATAATGTCTTCTCTCTGGCTCAATGTAATTTTTTCTTCACATAAGTGCGTTTGTCATAGACGCGGTAGATATTATTTACTAGAATATTAAGATAAAAGCTGATGTTGTGCGTAGTTATCAAAAATATTTTGCTAAAGCAATGTTATCGTATATTGTTAGATCCAAAAAAATCGTTGAATAAAATAATATCTTTTTCTAACTTTTTAAATAAACAAAAGAAAAATCTGAAAAAAAAATGGTAAGATGTATTAGCACCTCAGGATCTCGAATTTGCAATAACAATAAAACTATGATAATAGCGGTTATCATTTTGTTCTCCGGAGCCGTCGATATAATTATTTATTGTAAATAGTTCGAGATAATAATACCAAGTTATTTGTTATCCTTGAAACCTTGCAGACTTTGAAGCAAGTCTCAGGTCATATGTATTAAAATTTAATGATTCTATTCAACGTTAAAACAAATAATAAATCGTTTTTAAATACTGTTCATGACATACCTTTAAACATAATAGTTTGAATTTTAAATGAAACTGTGTAATGAATTTAGTTTTGCACTTTCTGAACGACATTTTAATTGCATGTAACAATGTTATTACAGCGTATGAAAATTTTAATTACACTTGCAACAGTTTTGTTTTTATTATAATTTAGAACAGTGTTAACCTAGTGGTTTGAGCGTAGGACTTCCATCCGTATGATCTATACCCGTAGGTTCAATACCCGGCTATGCAATAATGGAATTATATTGTGGGAAGGAAAACATCGTGAGAAAACCGGCATGCTTTAGGCCCAAAAAGTCGACGGCATGCGTAAAGCTTAGCCTGTTCACCTACTAAAAATATTATCACGAAACATACGGTTAATTACAACTAAGCATTATCTAACATAGTTATTCACCTTTGATATTTTTTAAAGCTTAAAGTATTTGTCAAAAAAAATATCTCTTAAAAATACGCTGTTAGAACAGTTGAAAACTTAAACTGAAGAACTGCTCTGTGTAAGAGTGGCGGAGAGTTTCTTGACAGTTACTTTTGTCCGCTCTACGCCCTTGACTTTCGAACTGGTAGTAAACGTGAATTTAGAATTAATTTAACATCTTTTCTGTTGACGTTCATAAGTGTGCTTGGTTACCTGTATGAATGAAGTTAGTTTGAGTTTGATTCTGTAATTATTAACCGACTTTAAAAATTCACAATTCCATTAAACTCCGACTAGACATCTAGACAATTAAAGTAATAGACCCGCAATGTTGCTATGTTGGATGGCCCCACTAAGCAGACACTCTGAAAATAATTTAATCTACGGAAAAATGCAAGATTAATTGCAAAGTTTTGAACAACTTATTTCATATCTTTCTTTCTTACACAGCGTACAGCCTTTCAAGTGATTTCAAGACTAATACTGTACCATCTTTCAAGCTAAACAAGTGATCTTCCCTTTTTTAGGACATCCAAGAGCCAACATCAGATCTCGGGGAGGTGCAAGTATCACTGTTATATAACGAAAACTTACACAGGCTCACGGTTACTGTAATAGAGGCCCGGGGACTTAAGGTGAGTTGTCTATTTGTATAGTGATTATTTTAAAGGGTTACGTTATCCATTGAACCATTTGATGCGTTATATTAGTTTTTACACCATTTAAATGATTTCATCTATCGCAAAATATAAACTATCTAAAAATTACCCTAAAGGATCGCTTGACGCAATATATGTATCTTAAAATGAGTGAATGACATCAACGTTATATGAATCTTAGAATAACATTTAGTATTACGTACATTTTTTTTTGACAATTCACACAAATTGACCTAGTCCCAAGCTAAGCTGGTGAATCTTGTGTTATGGATACTAGGCAACGGATATACATACATATTATAGATAGATAGACATATAAATACATATTTTAAACACCCAAGACCTAAGCACAACACCAAATGCTCATCACATTGATGTTAGTCTCAGCCGGGGATCGTACCCGGGACCCATGGATTCGCAGTCAGGGGTACTAACCACTAGACCAATGAGCCGTCAAATATGAGTCGCCATTATATACATAATATACAATATTTTTTCTAGCTCGACCCAACGAGTAGACGTGAAATGGTAGCCCGTGTGACACAAGAAAGGGCCTGTCGTGGTGTTAGGGCGAGGCGAACAGCAGCTGTTGAAGTCTCAGAAGAAGGTTCTGCTCTGATATCTGAATGTTTCCACTTCCGACTACGATCCGACGAGCTGCACACGACAAGCGTCACCGTTCAAGCGCTACAGCCTCACTCCGTATATGCCAAAGGTGAGAGCTTTTTAACAGAGCTTTTATGGCTTGGTTTAAGCTACTTTGAATACTTTATCGCCCGACCTGTACAATTTTACAACAACATTGTTACTTTACAGTAGATCCTCCTTTTCTATACAATTTTATTTATGTATGGTCATACATTGCAAATACTTTAAATATAGGCAATATCTTTTAATTTTTTATATGATTCGATCTCTTTTTGTTCTCTGTAATTGTATTAGTAATTTGATTTATTTTAGTAATACATTTAATTGATTTATTATGAGAAATGAAAATGATTAAAATTTTTAGTTTTATTTATATTTTGGATCTTTGGATTGGTTGCCACTGATTCGTAGCAAAAAAGATCCATAATGATGTTACAGCTAGAATATTCCCTTATCAATTGGGGTAAGTATTCTAGGTGTTAAAGTTTGATGAGTTAAGTCAATTAAAACATCCTCTCTGATTTTTATTCTTTAATATTAATAGTAATGTTTCATATAAATAAAACTATTAATATTAATTATATTAACTATACCACAAATAGTTCAAGACACAAAGATTATCTATATATCCTGAGAGTAATTGCAATAAAGATAAAGAAAATAATAAATACACTTTTGTATTGTGTTCATAAGTTTACTAAAATTCTAATTAGTATATTTTCAAATCTCAACGGGAGCTAGACACAATATTAAATTTGGGTACAAATATGATAAATAATATAGTAGCAATTCACGAAAAGCAAGAATGTGACTCGAGTTAGTACTCGGCATTAGTGCCCCTGCTGTGGTGAATTTGTAATTTCAGGGTTGCCAATGAAAAAATGAGAAATATTTTACAAAATAAATTACGGGTTATCAAAATAATATGATTATTATATTTTAAATAAGGATGTGTGTAAGCGGAACACTTAGAAGTCGAGAACATTAGAAGTGTTTCGCTTACACAGGTATAATAACTCAGTTTATTTATTTACATATTAGATTACATTATATTGGTCATCGCCTTATAGAAGGTTTTTATTTATTGATTTTGCACTCCTACAGCTTATTTAAATTATATATGATAAAAAGACAATTTAACTACACACAAAAAGGATTAAACATTTACGAAACTTAGGAAGCCAAAAATCAACAACAATTATTAAATACTTTTAACTAAGTATACCTAATTCGGGTGTGTTGTGTGATGTATACTCGTAGTATGTGGGGTGTGCTCATGATGCAGGATATTTGGAGGAATGGATATTCTAAATACTCCTGAAGCATATTCCGCGATAGCAGAAGAGGTCGAGAATTAAATAGTGATAGTATATTTTAGTGATAGTACTATTTTTCTGATTCTATTTATCGATACTGCAATTTCTCGAAATGTTTAAAAAATAGTTAACATCAACGATATTTCAAAATACATACACACTGTATTACATACCAAGTATACATACTGAAGTATTTCTGAACCAATTCGCCTTCGGGTATTCAAAGCGCGTACCAACTCTTAAAAGTCCCGCAACGCACGCGAGCCTTCTGGCCGTGTGACTGTCAATAGGCAGCCGTATCAGTTAACACCAGATGAGCCTTCTCCTGTTTGCCCTCTATTCTATAAAAAAAACAGACCCAATATTATATTCCATAATGTTGAGATTGAAAATGAAAGTATTACCGATTAACACGAAGCCATCGCACCATGCTTCACCATACAAGGTCGGCTGTCTAGTACCTTAAATATAACACTTTCAGGAAACCTAAAACAACATTCTCGTTTAGATAATGTTGAGGTAAATAGTAAAACTATTTAATAGTTTGTGCGAATGGTACTGATGTCTCCGTTAGACGCTACGATCAAAGCTTTGTGTAGGTGTCACCCACATGTAGCCCTCTGGCATTTCTAATAGTTCGAATAGTGAAACGGAAGGTCAAATGTAAACTGAAATGTGGGTGTATTATTACAGTACGGCATATTTAGGTATTATACATAGTTAACGGACCATGAGTATGCCTACATCCCGGTAATTTGCGTATTGTGTCAAAACTTAATACAAAATTTTTAAAACCTAAGACATTGGGCCTCTAGAGAGCTATGAAACACAAATTTCATCTATATGACAACCAAGTCACCATTTTTTATTTCTAAAAAGTCATCAAATATGCGAAATAATTGTTTTATATTTATTTAAAAGCTAGGGAAAATTCAACTGTCGTTTTTAGTATTTTTCTTTACTCATTTTTTATTTCCAACCGTTTAAGTTTTTCTTTCTTTAAATTTCCACAAATATTTCAAGCTCATAATTAGCCAAACCGGTCCAGCCTCTCGAGTTTTTTCGAGCCTTTCGCGAGACAAACGAACAGCAATTAATTTATATATATATATATATATATAGATAAATTACAAAAGGATTACCCTTCTAAACCGTTTAATTACGACCAATGTTTGATATAAACAACGTTTTATTCTCAGTTTTTTAAAAAGCAAGTACTCCAGCCGTGCATTCAAAAATTCATAATTGAATCGCCAAAATCACAATAGGACATCATTAAGACATTTGAAAGAGCTCCTTGCGTTTAAATTCAAGATCTCAGATTCAGATAAACGACGTACAGTTTGGTATATTAAAAATACAACTATTATAAAACCCAGAATAATTAGACCCCTAACATTTAGGCTAGTTTCCCAACAATTGTGATTTATGCATCCGAAATTTCCACTCGACTAACGAGAACACTGAATTTGTTATAATCAAAGGTGAATCACTCTCTGTGTTTGAATCTCAGTTCAGCATATACATAAGATACATACATAATTTTAGGTATTGCTAACATTATTAATTAATCCAAACATCACTTTTGAACTGTCTTTGTAACGTTATAAAAGAACAAACATGCGGCGCTACAGACCTTTGAGTTGGTCTCTTACTCTATCTGTTGGGAAAAAATTTCTTCTTAATAAGCAGTGATCTTCGGTTTCATACGGCGTAGCCTATTAGATTTACGGCCTGCCAGTTTTAATTAGTTATGGCTACTAAGTGATCTCTTCCCGCAACCCTTCCAGATGTTGTGTGTCGCACGCTCATATCACTAGGCCAAATGGTTGGTCACCGACTTGGAACTGAGTTCTTATGTGTAAGCCACCAAACAATATCCACAATTTATCAAGCCGAGACAAAATTTCTAACTTACAAACACTACAAAATAAATTTATGACAATAAAATACTTTATGTTTATAACACCAGCTTTTTATTTTTTTTAAATAACTCCCTCCATAGTAACATATCATTTAAGCAAATCAAACACACACATCACGTCGGGCGAGTTTTATTATCTTGCTGAAGCCGCGCACAAATTATTAAAATACTAATAATAATTATAATTATTTAAGTATTATTATAAACTACGAAGGTGTACAATTATTTAATAGCTTGTATTTGATATAATTTAACAGGGGAATTAAAGGTACACATTCTGCCTGAAGATAGAAAATAATTAAACTGTACGAGTGCTATTCATTAATTTAAATCTCATACAAAATATATTATTTAATTGCGTGTTTTGTTACAGACCGCCTACTCGGTAAATTCGTGCTCGGCTCATACATGTTCGCAAGAGGGCGGGCTCTACAGCACTGGAACTCAGCTATCGGAAACCCGATGGAATCTGTAAAGCAATGGCATCCTTTAACAAACTAAATTTGAAACAAGCAGGGTTATTCTGTAAAATTGATATCGATCAATATTTCACTTGTTGAAATTGTGTCTTTTACAGCCGATTCCAATATTATATCCAAAAACAATATGCCATGATTTTAATCATCACACACGAAAACTTTTGAAATCGGATGAATATCGCTGTCGAAATTACAGGGTAAGCCTACTGACTCCGATCAAAACTTTAATGGACCTCCGCATTTAAATTGTCTGAGTAAAATTATAATGTATAAACGTATTTAAATAATTCATAGCTCCAGTACTTTCAATTGATATATTTCTTAACAATTCTTTTGCTACGAGTATCTATCTGTATGACATCTATATTGTGTATTTACCTACAATTATGGCCGTATCTGTAAAACAGTTTTTCTTCATAAACACTTGCCATCTTTTTTGTAAACTTTTAACTTCAGTTAAAGAATGTAACGATTTGTAACGTTTTAATATTTAAGTAATAAGAGAAAGATAAAAACATTAAATTTGAGACTTAATTTATAAAGTGGTTAGTTAGCATTTATACCAGTGATTCCCAAAGTGGTCTATATCGACCCCCAGGGGGCTATGACAACCTGCAAGGGGTCTACGTCAGCGAAAAAAATTTGGGGGTCCATGAAATGAAAATGGGAGTGGATCTCAACACATACACTGATAGTACCTATTTACTTACATCATAATATCTTATAATATCAAAACATATATTGTCTTATGTTAGTTTATTTTATGTTAATCGTATATTTTACATAACAGATTCAAAATTTTATTTTGAGTAGTTTTAATTTAAATTCAATTAATAAATGTATAAATTAACATGTGTTTTTACTTTAACTTTTTAACACTAAACTTCACTACAGTTAGAAATTTACAGGAAATCAATATCAGGTAAGTAGGGGGTCTACCCAACACGGAAAAACATGGCAAGGGGTCTACGACACAGAAAAGTTTGGGGAACTCTGATTTATACTATAATGCTGACTGACCGATACGGACAACTACTAGTACTTTCCTTAGATTTTCTATTAACCCGTAGAGATCTCTTTTCAGAACAAAAAGTTGCGCTAATTCATAACTAACTGAGGCCCACCGTGATACCGTATACACATGAATTAATAATTAGCGTCGTTCTCGCTACTTCATGGTTCTTTATTTATCTGAGTAAATCAGATTACAGTTGACACTGACAATTAACAACAGATTGAATTTTGTGATTTAGCTCAAACAATATATAAAATCTAGCATTTTAATAGAGACTATGTATTGTTATTATGTTAACATATTTTTGATTTTCGATTGCGATGATTTTCGATGTAAGTAAATTGTCAAAGTTGATAATGGATCACCTCCTATTATGTGACAACAATACAAGGGTCATGTACTAACGAAAATCAAAATGCGCCCCGTAAAATCGTAGTGTTATAGATAGATATGATCAAATGTCAACTGTCATCTGTCAAGACAAATTGGCAGTTTTAAATTAGACAAATGAAGTTTCAATTGATTATCCATCTCTGTATCGCTGTCTATATTTATATCAACAGTTTCAATTGTAACTTTCTATAGCTATTATTAAGACCTACATAATTTGCATACCATTTACACTATGAATATTTTTGTACTTAGTCATTTCAGAAACATTCTTATGAATATTTGACCTTGAAATAATGCGTATTGTGTAACAAAAAATATATTTAAAAAATTAAAGTCTTATTAAAACTCCAATTAATGATATTTGTCGTGGATTTTAAACATATTATTGTATGTAGATTATGTATACTACAGTATTTACTTATATGCAACCAAAAATAAAGATACATTCAAAATTGATGGTGAATAATTTGAGTTTTATTTCTGAATCCACAAGTAATTTTGTCTCCACCATTATATGTCACCAATACTCATTTACTCACTCCACTGGCCACCAAAACGAGGAACTTCCAGCGCTCCTAGTCTTGTGCCACCTCCCGACAATTGCTGGCTTTCAGCTGCAGCAGCGTCACCAATACAATTTTATGATTTTATCCGTAGTATCTGACTATACAGGATGGCCAAAAATTCGTCGATCAAACGCAAATAGGGGATAGATGAGGTCATCAGCTGCAAAAAATTGTTCTACGGGAGGTCCCTAAGCTCAACCCCTGCAGAGTTATAATTTATTTCTTGATGACCTCATCTATCCCCTATTTACGTTTCCACGACTTTTTGACCACCCTGTATAGGGCATGCATTTAGCTATCTGCAGCATCTAGATGATTGATTAGTCGAGTTTACATATTAACGTATGCAGCGATTTTACGCTATCTGGAGGAAATATAGTATAGATCAATATTTACATAATGCTCATCAGACAACTATAAATAAACTTGACAGGTGCAATTAAAGTTTTTCGTGGTTCAAAATAATACACCGAATATCAATCCCGGGATTTTTTGGATGGGTCACTGGCTATTTGCGGTGTACGCGTCCTTCGATATGTTAGGTAAATCGTATCGTATTATCTTTTGTATAGTACTGTTGGGTTTTATCTACTATCAAAGTAACTATTTTGCTTGCACTATATACATGCTTAAAAACGATTTATATTTCAACTGCAGCAATTAAAAATAAAGAAGTTCCTATAAGGATATTGTTTTTTATTTGAGGATCGCTACTTTTGAATGTAAATATTTTAATAATGTAGACGTCGTAAAGATCGTCAACTATTTTACCGACTATCACTTACGTGATCGTTTGTGACGCTTGGAACATAAATTTCATAGAAAACTAAAGTCCTATGATGGAGATAATTCACGATTTAAACTCACAACTCAACGAAACTAAACGATACGATACGAAACGAAATCATGACATGAAAAGAAACTCCAGACTTCCGAAACTCTTCAACACTGAACTCAGACTTAAGAATGAAATCAAGTACCTAGGTGTGATCTTGGACAGTAAACTGCTCTGGAACAAACATCTAGAACACAAACTAAACAAAGCAACGATCGCCTTCTATTAATGCAAAAAGATGCTAGGCGTGAAATGGGGCTTGTCGCCTAAGATAACTATATGGCTATACACTGCCATTATCAGGCCAATGCTAGCCTACGGAGCCCTTGTTTGGTGGCCTAGAACAGAACATCAAACGGCAATTACTAAACTTGGACGCTTCCAAAGGCTTGCTTTGTCCGCTGCTAGCCGTTGCATGAAAACAACACCAACTGCAGCAATGTTGATGGCCCTGCAGATCTTACCTCTAGACCTAAACATACAGCAGGAGGCAGCCCTGGCTGCTATCAGGCTTATGGTACTGGATCTATGGGGAAAAAATCACTATAGTGCACACACAGCGATTCTCAACAGGGCGATAGAGTATCAACCTCTTATAGCTACGCCATGTGATAGAATCACTAACCAACTAATATTTAACAGGAAATACCACATACAACTGAGAGAAGAGGAACATGATCGGTCGACCATGAATGAGCTACGTATATATGGACAGACGGATCTAAAACAAGGTCTGGCTCAGGCGCTGGCATATTCTCTCTTGATCTCAACATCAACATACACCTACCCCTGGGCACACAGAGCACGATCTTTCAATGTGAATGTGTTGCCTTAACCGAAGCAGCCAGAGCCGTGCAACGTCGGGGGATTAATGACTTTTGCATTAAATTCGTATCCGACAGTGCATCCGTGCTGATGGCGCTTGGAAACAAAAAACCAACAGCAAACTAATACTGGAGTGTCATGAAGCACTGGAGGCCATAACCCGAACCAATAGGGTTAACTTGCATTGGATAAAGGGACACAGTGGATCTCTCGGCAATGATGCTGCTGACGAGCTTGCGAGAAGAGGCTCCGGAATGATGCCTGCTGGCCCGTATCCGCTCCTCCCCTTGCCCTTCTCGCTGGTGCGAACCTGGATTCGCCAGAGATCTGCTGAACTCCAGCAACAACGATGGTCGCATAGTGCGGGCTGCAAACAGTCCAAAATGGCTCTACCAGCAGTGAACCCGCAACTGACAAAGCGACTACTAAGCTTAAATAGAACCAACCTTAAAACAATGATAGGGACAATAACGGGTCATTGCCTCCTAAATAAACATCTTTTTGTCCTAGGCGCGACAGACAGCCCCCTGTGTTTCAGCGCAGAGGAAACAGTCACCCACGTAGTCCTGGAATGCGTGACTGTGGCTAATCAACGTGAAAAAATCCTCGGAACGGTGAGGTCGCTCCGGGAAGCCTGTGAAGTGCCCAGGAGACTTCTGTGCTTTTGGAAGGAGCTAGGCTGGCTAAATTAGCCAGGACTCGTACGCACAACGGACCAATTAGGAGTCTAATTGCGGAGAAAGGAGTCCAACTACCCTATACCCCTATACCCTATGAAATTCCAAATATGAAATTTTCAATTACATAGATTTTATTTCTTATATCGAGTTTCTGTGTCTAACTCTGATACTTTCCAGACGCGAAAATAATTAAAAAGCTATTAAAAGAAAACGGAGTGCAATAAAACTTAATTAATGGATGTACTCAGAGTGTTTAACTAGAGCTCAGATACGTCCTTAAGCTGTATTATCTGTCCAGTAAAGCTAGACCTCTATACTTTCGCAAGTCCTTTCTAAATAGAGGTCTGTCCGTTACATAGTAAATTGGTTAAGTGCGTTTAATTTTTATACTCCAAGGATTTAAACGACAAGAAAATTACGTGGAGTATAAGCTTCTAATCCTAGAGAGATCGAGTCATTATTCTTTTCAAGATCTGTATACATAATTTCTCAGCCTTTAATAATTTCATTCCAAGTAGATGATATCAAAAATTCTTATCTCATTGTGTAAGCCTCCTCGTTGAGGTTATTTTGAAGTACGTTAAAAATATTAGGTCCTTACTTATGAAATTGGCGTTTTGTATGGGAGGAACAAAAAGTTGTTTTTTTTTAACGAACGAAAACGTTGTAACCAAAAACGCACTATGTTTTCTTTCGCGACACCGCCGC